AGTTACAGTGAGTAACTACCCGCCTGGCACTTAGTTAGGGGGTTTTATTCCCTCCCTAACTTCAGGGAAAAATCCCTACCTGGGGAAACAATCTTTCTCAGAGAGGTGACCTTGGTTAAAACACATAGTGCCAAGAAGGTGAGCAAACATATTAAGAACAGTATGCCATATATGCCAGGTCCCTTGAAACAGCAAGGATGGACCGGCTCCCAGCAACAACAAAAAAAAAACCAAACAAACAAACACAAAAGCACAATGAGCCCTGGGCCTATAGCTCAGTTGGTGAGAATGTCGTTCCAATATGCTAAGGTTGCAGGTTTGATCCCCAGTCAGGGCACATACAAGAATCAACCAATGAACGCATAAATAAGTGGAACAACAAATCGATGTTTCTTTCTCCCTTCCCTTTCTCTAAAATCCATAAACAAAATTTAAAAAATAATAAATCAATAAAAAATATCTAAAAACCCACAGTGAGATACCAATTCACATCTGTTAGAACAGCTATCATAAAAAAAGACAAGAAATAAATGCTGACAAGGATGTGGAGAAAAGGGAACGGTTGTGCTCTGTTGGTGGGAATATAAATTTCCACTATGGAGAACAACAGTAATGGAGGTTCCTCAAAAAAATGAAAAATGGAACTGCCACCCAGCAGGCGTGGCTCAGTGGTTGAGTGTAGACCTATGAACCAGGAGGTCACGGTTCACTTCCTGGTCAGGGCATATGCCTACCTTGTGGGCTCAATCCCCAGTGTGGAGTGTGCAAGAGGCAGCCGATTTTCACATCACTGATATTTCTCTCCTCCCTTCCTCTCTGAAATCAATAAAAATATGTTAAAAACATAAAAAATAGAACTATTGTCCTAACCGGTTTGGCTCAGTGGATAGAGCGTCGGCCTGCGGATTGAAGGGTCCCAAGTCAAGGGCATGCGCTGTGGTTGCGGGTGCATCCCCAGTAGGGGGTGTGCAGGAGGCAGCTGATCGATGTTTCTCTCTCATTGACGTTTCTAACTCTCTACCCTTCTCCCTTCCTCTCTGTAAAAAAACCAATAAAATATATTTTTTTAAAAAATAGAACTACCATACGACCCAGCAATCCCACTTTGGGGAATATAACTGAAGGAAATGAAAACACTGTTGGAGTGATGTTCGAAGCATGACCTACAATAGCCAAGACATGGGAAATAAGTGTCTACAGGTGGATGAATAAGGAAGTTGTGGTGTATAGATACAATGGAACATCATTCCGCCGCGAGAAAGAATGAAAGCGCCATTTGGAAAAATACGGAAGGACTTTGAGGGCACTATGCTAAGTGAAATAAGTCAGAGTGTATGATCTCACTTATATGTGGAATCTTAGCGTGAGCTCGTGCCACACACACACCACCACCACCACCACCAACAACAACAACAACAACAAAACAGAAAAACTGAAACTCCTAGCAAAAAAGATCAGATTTGTGGTTACCAGAGGTGGGGGAACAAGAGATGGGGAAATTGGATAAAGGTGGTCAAAAGGCACCAACTTCCGGTTATAAAATACGTTCTAGGGCTGTAATGTACATGACGACCATAGTATGGCTTTTTCAAATTTGTTAAGAGAGATCCTAGAGTTCTTATCACAAGGAAAGGAATTTTTTTCACGCGGTGACTGATGGTCACTAAACTTTTGTGCTAATCCTTTCACGCTATATCAGCGGCAGGCCCAGAAATCAGGATTTTAAAAAAGATTCCCAGGTGATTCTAATGTGCAATGCAGCCAAGGTTGAGAACCACTGCTCTGTATGAAAGTCGAGCCAATAAACTGTCCCCCTTAGACCGACACGGTGCTCTATGTCAATTACCGCCCCGTAAAACTGGGGAGAAGGAAAAAGACCCGGCGGCCCGGAGCAGAACACTAAGTCCCAGCCCGACCACAGGGGAAGGCGACCCGGGAGGCGGAGCGCGGTGTCTGCCGGGCCTAAGGGCTGGCAGCTGGGGCGGGGGCGCAGGAAGGAGGATGAGCGTGGTCTCAGGTCGGGGAGAAGGTACCAGCGGGATGTGGAACCCCAAGCAGCCCCGTCTGCGCCCACTCTGCCTCCCGCCACCCCTGCGCCCCAACTTCCCCGGAAAGCGCTGGAGAAAGTGCTCCCAGAAGGAGCTAAAGCCCCGATCATGAGTGAGCGCGGAGGCTGGGCGCGCACCGCCGCGGCGTGCGGACGGCGCGGTCCGAGTC